TTGAGGACAGACTTGTCGATTTTTGCTTGCTGACGTCCATTAGCTTGCTTTGAACCAACACTTCTGTCATAAAATGTACTTTCTTCTCATAAAATGTGCTCAAACTTTGCATATTCGAGCATAATAATATCTGAAAATGACAGCAGACTGCATTGGCGGTCGCCAAACACATACGGGCCTCCAAGATGACCTTCATCGAGGCATTTGCGTAAATGGTTTGTATGAAATTAGGGGCTCTGGCTCTGGTCTCCTTCTGACCTAAGCGGTTTTGAAAAAAGACCAAATACCCAAAAATTCATTTTCACCCTTTCAACGTCTACAATAAAAGTAGCTTTTGCCTGCCGTCTCGGAGAGGAAGCATGTTGCCCTGGTCCTTCTTTTGACAATCTCAGTTTTGCTGATAATCTGAGCTGCATTGAGGACTTCACAAACTGTGAAATCACTTTTATGAAATGCAGAAAATTTATTCAAACAAAATGCGCAGTTCGGCAGCTTTAGCAGTACAACGATCTATCACTAAAAAACCCCTGTCGGTTTCCGATACTCGAAAATTTATTATCGTAGGCATGGTTGTGAGTTGCGTAACAAATCGCCGCCAAGGTGTGCGCATACTGTGAATACGATGCTTGAATACTTTCCACAGACACTTTGTCTTTACAGCCCTGCTCAATTTTATTCGTCCTGGGATGTATTATGCTCTAGTAGATGAATATCACCTTTTACCCTCCCCCCTCTATGGGGACGGGCTGGTGAAAACCAAATTGTGCATGCTGGAGCCCAAAAGATCAACTACGACCGAACCAAGAGAATGGAAGTTCTTTTGTCCACATCACTGCCCTCTCTCCACGTTTGAGCCCAATCGCCCTGGTGGGGCAAATGGTTTACGTGACCCGGTGGGCAGAGATATGAGTGGGAGGGCAGTAGGCTAAGATGAGGCAATTTTTTACGACTCGGGTCAACTTTTATCCTAAATCCCTTGAAGCCTCAAGATTACAGACCTGTCCCCTTTCACCCACTGTGATTTGATCTATTGTCTACTCATGCGGGAAGTCGCGGGCGAGTGGCCGTGTGCCTTGAGCATAAATCATTTCCTTCCCCGCCTACTTACATCCGCTTCTATATGATGGTGATGGAGTAACTGACGCATGGCCACCGTATGCTCCTGTGCGAATATATGTAGGCGTGCGGGGTTTGACACTGCTGTCCGAATTGGCGAAGACAGATCGAGTTAAAAATCCCACACACGCACATAGAGACACTGCTTAATGTCCAGTGTTCATAACGCACCTGATGGGTTCGAAGCCAGTGGGTCGGACTGAAGCATACACAGGGACAGTCCAAATATCTGCTCCTCAATAGTGCGTCAAATTACGCTCGGGGTCTGGACAGCGATTACGTACCAAGTGTTCGCCAGCATCCATTTCCCACTGTCTATGCTGTCAGTGAATGCACGTGTTTGTGAGTGACCCCTTGGTTCTTTATTTCGGATAGGACCAAGTGGCTGGTCAAAAATTTTTAGAATTAGGGGGGAACTAAAGAGGAATGGCCTCTTCCGCAAGGAGGGCGGTTTTGATCTATGCCCGCTGACGCAAACCGGTTCATGAAGCATGCATGAAAGGCAACAGTGTCTGTTGCTTTCCCCTCACTTTTGCCAGACTGCATTAACATAAAACCCCTTTCCGTTAAGTTCACCTGTAAAGACTTCAAATTTTACGCCTGTGGTCTAATCCGCATTAGGATGCGAGTCCTGACTGTTCAGCATTAAAGTTGATCCAGTCATCAGATCTAGGTGTCCATTTAATTAGTTGTAAAAGTATTGCAAATTAGCTTCTCTGAAACTGCACGACGCCAAGCTCTTCTTCATTCATGGACAAGGTCTGGAAAATTCGAGTCTTCTTTTTACTCGAGTGAATTTCTGACCCTGTCAGACCTCCTCGCCCCCGATAGACTGCACCAGTGGCGAGACGAGAAGCGGGGAGGAAGCGCCGAAGAAGTAAGCCAGTTTACCATCTGCTTGCATTAAACCGAAGCGAGAAAATTTTCAATTCGGAACCGATGAAGTAGGGGAGCCGGGGTCGCGCAACAGATCGGCGGCAGGGCTTGGCACTGGCCGCCCTTCAATGCAAAATGCCGGCTTTCTGGGTCAAACACATCCGCCTCTATCGCCTCAGTCCATCGTGTTCGGTGTGAAATATCACCTTTGGGCACCGGTATCTCCGCCTTGGCTGGGGGGGAGGGGGGCAACGACGACGGATGGCTCCATAAGGGCATGCAAATTAGGGTGTAATGACCGTTTAGCTGAGGCATTTGGTGGAATGAAGGGGCGTGCTGAGATTTGTACAAGCCCGCCTTCTACTGGATGGAACATGAGAAAAGCTTCAAGTCTTCATTGCTCTGAGTGGGTGCCCTGGGAGACGACCACATCTCTGCTGCCCGTTGTTAGTGCAAACACGCGCGCACGTGGTGATTGAATGCACGAACGTGTCAGACTACATCGCCCAGGTGGTTGATCCGGCGTTTTTGTGATATGCGGCTTATGAGTCAGCAGTTCATGCATGTTTGTCATTAGAATACCCTATGCGCATAAACTTATGCATAGCCACTGGTTCCTGTAAGTCCAATGCAAGAACATGGTAATCTGGGGAAGAGAGTGGATGCAACATCTGAGTGTGGGCGAGGAATGGGTGGGGGGGGGGGTCGAACGGAATGGTGGATGTCGCAGCAAAATAATGAACATATATGTAGACTGGCGAGTCCGAAGACAACGAATATTATGCATAAATGTGTTCTCTGTCAGTCATCTGCTGGCCTCATAATGGGGGTAAGGGGGTGACGCCTATTTTCTGTCACCCTTAAGGGCCTGACTCCAGGGGTGGCTAGTGTGGGCCTGTACGCATGCCCACGGCCGGCAGATGTTTCTAGACTCGGGGTCAAGAGCCTACGCGACCGCCGGAGACATCCCGCGGGGATAAAAGGGTGCATGTATGGATGTATGGCGTTTGTGGGTATCGTTTGAATGGGGACCTAATGATGAGGATGCAGGTGCTTTGCAATTAAAACGCTCCACCGCCCCACCCCGGACCTCTCTACTAAGCCAACTTCTCCCTCTCTCGATCCGGTCTCCCATTAGCGCAAAACTGACTTAAGTGCGGGCTAACATGTGCGTGTAGGGGGGTGGATTAGGAAGGGAGGCGACGCCAGTGGTTACAGGGAAAAGTAACGAGATGAAGCAAACAAGTGCTTTTGTGCGGAAGGCGCAAACGACCCGCTTTCATAAATGGAGCGAAAGCACTCATTTGACATATTTAATCGGCGTTGCTATGTCACTGAAGGTCAAACGGGGGATGAAAGCTAGACCCACAACTGGCTGGATTAACAATATTCAGAATTTACTCAGCCCTCCACCGCCAATAAGCGAAAGGGAGGTCATCAGAGGTCTTGGACGCTGGAGCCAGGAATGAACCCTGAAGAACGATAAAAAGCCTGACTGCCAGAGAAGTTCGCCTTCCTGGGACGGCACTATCACGACGACGGACAGGCTGGCGTTACCGAAATCGCGTCCGCATCAAGTGTATTTGTGGTGACCAATGGATTTAGGCTGCTTTACTGAGTCTCTAACATCTCTCTTCAACCAATGATCGAGTTCCTTCAGATTAGTTGGAGCGGCCAAACCAACAGGGTGACATATCCGCTCCTGTCAAACACTACGTTTGAAAAATGCCATAGTTATAGGCCACCGAAAGCAAGTATAAAAGTCGTAGTGACAGATTCAGAGATGTTACTATTGCGGAAGTCTTCCTCACTGCAATCCAAGTCTCCCGCAAGTCATTGGTTATTCCCGGACAGTCATTAGTCCCTCCACTGTGCACGATAGATGAGCCACAGTGACAGTTGTGGTCATGGTTACATCCGACTACACGCTTTTCTCCCCTTCCACCCGTCGTCGTACTACTGCACCTTCACCCACCCGGCACCTTTGAGAACAGTGAACTTTCAAAGTTCCCTTAACTGGCATCTGTGCAGACCCCCCCCCACCACCTTGCGTGGTTGACGAGACTTCCCGGGTAGCAGAGCGGATACCTCATACTTGGTCGCTGGGCGTCAGCCCGTTGATTCACTTATGGAGAAGGAACGAGTGTGAGTAATCCCTAACCTGCCGACTGACCGACTAAATGGCAGATACTACCCACTTCTTCCTCCGCTGGTGGGACCGTGAAAACTGGCATTTCCACAGACTTCGCGCGCCCACCTGGCGGGTCATGCGCACTTCAAGGCGTGCGGATTCAATTTATCCGTTTGTACTCTTCCCACCACTGTGGCCATTAATGCCATAGCCCAGGGGAAGAACAAAATGCGCATGACAAAGTGAAGTGCAGGCGGACTGTCATAGAGAATTATGATAAGCGGGCCTCTGTGTGAAGCCACTCGTATAAACAAGAGTGCCTGAATATTTATGTGAGGATTATTTGGAAGTATAAACAAGCATTTCTAGTAAGGCGAGATTCCCGGCGGTTCCCGTCTCCGCCCTCTTCTCTGTTCTCCGCGGGATTGCTGAAGATAATTCTCAGTCTTGTCAATTAGTTCGGGTATATTTAAGAATAGCTTCGGGGCTTTGTGACGGTACCAACAAATGCATGTTAAACATTAACTGAGCATAGCATATCCCCGACATGTGGCATTTGTTAACTGGAAAGGGGTTTCTAACTTCACTGAAGTTACTTAAGACGCATACGAATTCTCTGTGAGCCAAATGGGAAATTCATGGATCATTAACAACAAGCGCTACGGACGGTATTTGAAAGTTCAGAGCTTAACACCAGACTGCACTTTAAGCATTATGAAAACAAAACCTTTCTGATGTTTTGACCAAAAATGGTCGTATCCGACATCCATGGAATACAGGCACTATGCATTTAACCACCTGAATGTTCACGGATAAAAGCCACCAAAGGCAGTTATTTTGTCCTGTGTGCACAGTGATTTTAGGTATGACATTTGCTATGTCCTCCTCCTCCTCCTCCTCCTCCTCCTCCTCCTCCTCCTCCTCTTCATCCTCCTCTTTCTTCTTCTTCTTCTTCTTCTTCTTCTTCTTTTTCTTCTTCTTCTTCTTCTTCTTCTTCTTCTTCTTCTTCTTCTTCTTCTCTTATTCTCCTGAGACAGTAGCATATGCTTAACTCGCAAAGGAATGTGATGTCACAGCTTAGGTTAGATGCACTCCTATTATTCAAAAGTCGTTATATCCAGTTGGAACTACAGCAGGTGGGCTAACTCATGAAATGTCAACCGAAATTCCGAAATGTGTTTTCGTTTCGAAAAGATTAAACGAGTAAAATTGTAAAACTAATCATCTTGCAGTATAAGTCTATAATAATTCAGTCGCCTCAGGGTGCCGGCTTTCGAAAGAACTTCTTTCCGGGCTGCATGCAAGTACGATAATGTGCAAAAATGACTACTTAAGTAGTACGCCTTTTCTCATTGATTTTCGATGTCCTTAAAAATTCAATTGTATTTCATAGAAAACATGCATAAAAATATTCATTCTTTTGCTAATTCGGTAGGAAATTACGTCTTCTTCCCATTTTATACTCGAAGGAAAAGTATAATTCGCTTTTAAAAAACGTTTCCAATTCCCGGATAATTGTGAACCAAGACCTGCCGTTATGCTTGCATTTGGGGTTTCCAAACTAAAAATCGCATATTTTCTACGAACGGAAATGCATAGATTTCTCTACGGTAATAAGAGAAGACCATATGAGGTCCATAAAATTTAGCAGTGGATTTGAGCCATATTAGTAAATGCAGAGTCATGGCGTTTTATGAACGACCATTTAACGGTACTAGAAAATCAAACAATTAGAACCTTTTTAAAACCGAATTATACTCTTCCTTCGAGTATAAAATTGGAGGAAGACGTAATTTTCTACCGAATTAGCAAAAGAATGAATATTTTTATGCATGTTTTCTATGAAATACAATTGAATTTTTAAGGACATCGAAAATCAATGAGAAAAGGCGTACTACTTAAGTAGTCATTTTTGCACATTATCGTACTTGCATGCAGCCCGGAAAGAAGTTCTTTCGAAAGCCGGCACCCTGAGGCGACTGAATTATTATAGACTTATACTGCAAGATGATTAGTTTTACAACTTTACCCGTTTAATCTTTTTGAAACGAAAACGCATTTCGGAATTTCGGTTGACATTTCATGAGTTAGCCCACCTACAGTGAGCCTTAAAGTGGATTTACCAGTCACGGATGATAGAGGGCCCCACTGCCTCTTCGAAACATCCGATACCTGATTAACCTATTCCACTGAACGCGGCTTATTGTACCTTTTGCTCCCTATGAGGAAAGCATCTATTATCACAAATTTCATTTGTTTTTCATCTAATTAAATCGAAAGACGCAAAACACTTGCGTCTGATTCCGGCCAAGTGAACAGAGAGGGAACTAGGAAGAATAAAAGGTGAACTTTTGAACTTCCCAGGACCTTCCAGAAAACAGTTAGACAACTACAGTACAAAAACGTCGTTTCCTATGCTATGATTGGCAGGTGGAGGAGGAGGATGGGTCTCCACTATCATTCTTTTCCTTCCAACGCAATTTTCCAGCCGCCTTCTGTTTCGGCTCCACTGCCCCTGCTACAAACGCGTTCCAATATTTGCGACGCGGCTGTAGGGGGAGGGTGGGGTTGGGCTGATAAGGGGAAGTGCGAGGAATTTTGCAGTATTGCTAGGAAAGATCTGTCCCCCACACAAAATGCTTTAACCGCGGCAAGCTATTAGGTTCGTCCTGTCCTGCAAGGCAGGCGTAGCCTTAAACTATGCGAACTAGCTTTTAATGACACAGACCTGTGTTATATCTCCCTCATTCGTTCTTCCTACGCCAGTCGGCAAAAGACAAAGTTATGACGATCAAAGGTGGGCGTGGGCGCATTTTCTGGTCGTTTAATAACTTATCTAGTTGTGCCACACACGACCTGCTTCGTAACCGCACACACACACACACACACCAGACTTCATCGGGGAGGCACGAATCATTGGGATCAAACAGTAGACGTAGACTGTGAAGTTTCAGTACGTTCCATCTACAATTCTAACGACACTTCTGGTCGTCACATTGGAGATAATGGTGCTTGCACCTGTGCTACCATTACTGGCGCTGGTGATCGTACCTTACAGTCGTCCAGAGCAGCCGCACATTGACAACAAATTGGCTCAGTATCCTGAGGAAACGGAAATCTTTTCCTCGAGAGTGCTGAAATCATTTTGGCTACATTCTCTGCCAGTCAAAATTCTAAGTCTTGCTCCTGATATATTAGCCCCAGTTTTTCCCGTATCTAACACAACGAACATTGTTTCTGGTGGCAATGCTTTGCCTGGACCCATCCGATCCGAGATCGTGCTGAGCTCGTTCACAGGCTAGTTAGTGACTATTCCAAAGTCCACCGAACTGACAGATAAAAGCATAGACGCAAAATCAACGTACAGGGAATAATCGGGTAAGATGTAAAAGGGGCCTGACAAGCTTTGTTGAGAACTGTAGGGTGAAGGGCCCCACTAATCTGTTGGTAGACTATGGATGGCGTAATATGGGGTTTTTTCCTGACCTCCATTTACGGACATCATACTGCCAACGACAATTACTTCCCGTGCCCACAAACCACTACTGACACTCCGTTGTTTATTGAAATTTTGCTTTATATTTAGTTTTGATTAACGCGCTCATTTCAGTTGCTACGCGAAAGCTTAAGATAAGGCTTTCGGCAGAAATCCAAACAATTTCTGCATTTTCTTGCATCTCGTCAACTTACTGTCTGTTGTGCTACCCCACCCGTAAAACCCCTTTTACCACCATTCGCGTCTGACACGATCCACCGACAGATAAACGAAGTCCTTCACCCTACCGTTGCCGTTTTTGTTTGTTGAGGCTGCTCGAGTTTGCTAGAAAACAGTATGTGGACATTATTGTCCCTTGATGGATTTGTCGGACGCGCTTGCTAGAGGGAGTTGCCTCTACGGTTCTATGACGAACACAGAATCGGGCCAAAATGTCAAGGGCACGTGCCAAATTCTGCAGACACCAATACGTTTTGGTGTTTTCGTATGCACTTATGCCCCTCCTTAAGAATTACTTCTTATTACGATTTATCGCCTAAACTAATCGTTGTAGACCATGCAACAACGGAATGGAACTTCTGCCTGAAGTCCTCTTCTTCACCATCTTTCTCGCGATGAGCCAACTAATTCTACATCGCACACCTTTCCGTCCGCGGTGACTGCATTCACAGACGTCCGCCGTTCACCACCCTTATAAGCCTGATTTGTAAAACGGGCGGGAAATCACCTCGTTACAGCGAGCGTCGGCGTTCGAATTTCGGATAGGTCAGATTATTTGACGGAAAAGCGCGCAGGAAAAATAAATAATCGAGTGAGACAAAAAAATCGCATCCGACGCAACAGTCAAATGTCAGCCTGCCAAACTGTTCTCGGAGTTTACCAGGTTTCACTGACGTCGGTAGATTCTTTGAAGATCGCAGCCCACTCTCGTGCGCCAACGCTACTAATGAATGTGGTTAGCGATCCGACGACGGCCGCTCTGCGAATCGTCCCACGCCTTCCAAAAAGAGTGTGCAAGATAGGCACATACACGGGAAGGAGGGGGGGGGGAGGTGGCATTTGTAAGTTTCACTCAACTCTGCAACGGCCCTTTGGAAGGGGCAACAAGTTGGTCGCCCGTTGCTAGGCCCAATGTGTTTATCGACACAAACGTCTGCCCCTTCCCCGCGGGACTGACCTTAACTAGTTTTATTGGAACCTAGAATGGCGTCCGAGAGATCGGACGTGAAAAGGAGGGGGGTGAGGGGTGTTGGCAGCATCGTAGATTTATATCTCCTATGTGAAACGGAAATTAACTGCCATGACGCCCACCTTCGAACCCAGTTCGCCCTCTACATTTGCCTATGGACCTGCCATGGTGCTGACCCCAGCCGAAAGTTGTGGAGGTCACACATGTGTAAATACATGGTCTGTAATCACCCCCTCAGGAAAACGACCGCATGTGTAGTTCTTTCATTCCTCGGTGTGATGCCGGAAACAGGCAGCATAAGAGAATAAAAGTGTTGGAATCAGGGAACACCACCCATAAAAAGAAAACAAGACAGTTAAGCTTCAGTTTTATCTCCAGTCAACCGGACTACATGGTCTAACTCAGGCAAGCAGTCTCACGAGTATAATCCACTCCCTGATATGTACTGCCTTATCTTCGGTTGAGACGCTGCCTAACTTTGGGAAAGGAAAAGTGAAAAAAGTTACTGCGTGCAGCAGTATCATCAGGAGCGTAGGGTTTTCCCCTGCTTTCCCTTTATCTTTGAAGCAATCGCCCAGCTAGATGATGGAGTCCAATTGAATTGTGCTTGTTACTGAGACTGGATGAAGGGGGAGTGAATGCACACGTAAATACAGCCGTAATGGAAACAGCTTTTTCACTAGCTGATGCGAGACGATGGAGTACTTAGGCCTGGGGGTGGACAGGGAAACAGGCCTGAATTCCTGGCCAAAAACAATTTTCAAATTCCTCTCCTTAAGTCATTTTCGGTATGGCTTTGCCGACGGGCATTCTTGAGGACGCGGTCAGGGCGACAACTATAGCCTTCAGTCTTCCTTTCTCTCCTCTTGCCTGTCTCTGTCCGCAATCTCACCAACCCCCTCCCCTCCCCCGCCACCACCCAAGTCCGTTTTTCTTATTGACATCAACACAGGCACTTTCGGCCACCATCACCGCCACCCCTCCCCCCAGAACGTTTTCAGGGCCTGATACCATAAACTGTCATCGAAACAAAGTCAACAGCAGCCCAGTGGTGGAGTGGGGAAACAAGGGCTTTGATTTCACTACGCTCTTTGGACGCTTCCCCTGCCCGTCTATTCCCCCTCGTCTTTTCACTCCGTTACGGACTCCGACGTCCATTTACTTGCAGCTGGAGAGGCAGTGCTGATTGAGGAGGGGGGAGGGGATTGGGGATGCTTGCATGACTGTTGCTTTCGTAAAAACCAGGCAGCACTGTTACAGTAGCAACGAATGCAGATTGTTCGGACGCATTAGCACGAGGCAGAGACACAGCCCGGAAGAGGTCGGTCACGTACGATAGAGAAGAGATAAAAGCTACGTGGTTGCTGCTGGTACTGCTGCTGCTGCTGTCGCTGCTGCTACGGATGCCGGGTTGCAATCGGTCTTGTTTGAATGCGATAGCGGTGGTCAGAGAACGAGTCTAAGTGGGTATGGGGAGCCTGTTTTGGATTCGGGGGAGCAACAAAAGCGCTTTAAAGGTATTGTAAGCTGACTGGTGGGAGTCTGCAGAGGATGAGTGGAATTTTCAGAATTAACATGCCTCCACGACAGGCCAGTCTGAGCCTCGTTTGCCTCCCCCCACACTTCATCTAGCAACCGTCTCAAGCACGAAATAAAAAGAGTTGAAAGACACGAAAATTTGGATGGGCGTTTCACCTAGTTGCACGCAACTCCCCGTAGCCGTAACTGCTTTTGCGGGCGAGGAGGAAGATTGTAGTCAGGGTGCAGACGTACATGGCAGGTCAAAAGGAAGTAGAAGGGGAATAGCTGAAAGTCAGCGTCCGTGAGTTAAAAATGTCATTAAAATGCATGTTCGCCAAAATCATAGACAGACTTGCACATTCTTTCGGTCGGCCTTCTGACAGGGCAGCAGACCCATCTAAATGGACCTTTTTTGGATTTATTCAGAAGCCCAAAATACCTGTGGCCAAGAGAGAAATAATTGTTTTACACAGAAGCAGCTTGTGTACAGATCTGTCCATTTTGTCTTGGAGCTTAGGACCTAAAGACTACACAGGCTGTTAAATGTAGGTAGTAATTAGGATAGGCCTGTTCATTCGACTGTAAGTCGAACGAGTATTCCGGCCCTCAGTTGACGTGGCGTCAGCCCATAGTGTGGTTAAGAGTGTCTTTCCCAGTAATCAACCGACTTCGATTTACATCTCAGCTATGCGCGATTGGTTCATGTTATCAAATAATCCAAAAATGACTATTTTGCCTTCTCAAACTTCGTCAGTACAGTTGCCGACTAGAGCTTCCTTCCGTATAATGTCTATCTCCACGTGCTACTGTTCGGACGCCTAACTGGCAGCGTGCAAAAAATTAAAAGACTTGAAAATCGATACACTTTTTATTCAAAAACTGTAAGCCATGCAAATTTCAACAAAATATAATTCAACACTTGGCAGTTCGGGTAACTTTTCCCTCACCCTAGATAAGGGCATTTTAGAAAATCGTGTATTTTCTTAGGCAAGTACGGCGAATCAGTAGGCGAACGATGTTCGGGCAACCTTTTACACGCCAAGTGCCTTTGATGCGATTTTTGACTGCTTTTCTATTTTCTCCTAGGTTATAACCACCATGTCTGACGCCAAACCCATGGTCCCCGCGTCCGTTAGCGCGCCCTTTTCTAGCAATGATGGGACTACGATTCCGGCCAGAATGGTCGCCACAGTGGGACAGCAGGCGCAACAGAAACAAACGACTGTGCCTAATATCAGTGAAGGCGCAGTCTTCGGTTTGATGAAGTCCCTGAAAAGCCAGCCAAGTACCTCGAACGCCATCGCTGGGTGGCCATCGGGGTTCACCGGTTTCTTCAGCCCTCTACCTCAGCCCACTCTGATAGGTGGCCAGGTGGCCAACCATCAACAACGACAGCATCGGCATCAGTCACATATTGGCGAATCAGCCAACGCCACCGGCACCTCCAAACTCTCCCCAGAACCACCGGACGTCCTTAGTGCGGCCGGCACGGCGGCAAATTTAACTTCGGTAAAAGCACAGAAGCGGCACTCCCCACTAGAGGGCGGCAGTGACAGCAGCACCGTTCGTGGACAGGTGACAGTGGCCGACGCCGAAGTCGAACCGGACGAGCAGCATAAGAGGCAACAACAGACTGACGAGTTGAGGCAGAGCTTTCTGGCCACTGCACTGTCAATGATGACTGCAACGGCAACAGGGCCAACGTCAAGCGGTCTTCTGGGCTCTCTCTTGCCGTCTGAAGCACAGAAGCTGGTGAACGGCATTCAACAGACCCCCAGTGAAGAAGCAGGCAGACCACAAGTACCCACCGATCTGGCGACATGGGAGGAACTCGCTTTGGCCTCCCGTTTCTTCCCTACCTTTCTACCACCGTATGGGTCCAGTGATTCATCCCAGACAGATGGCCGAGTGCAAGAGGCAGTTGGCCAACTGGGCTACCTTCCACCACCACCGCCCAACCCATCGGGGGTGGGAGTTCAACTTCCAACGTCCAATCCCTTCTACATGTCAGCGGACTTTGAAGATCATAATTCGAGCACGAGCCTATCCGCAGGTCTTCGATTCTGCACAAGCACTTCTCCAACCCATGCCTTTTCTTCTCTCTTTGGCTGTCCAAGTTTTAATTTCTTAAGTAGCCTGCCCCAAGCCCCCCGTGGAGATGAGGATTTTTGCGAACTCTGCCAAAAACACTTCTGCAACAAGTACTACTTACGCAAGCACAAGACAGATGTACACGGTATTCCGACGGAACCCTTCACACAGAGTAGACGTCGAGATTTACCGTCAAAGTCCTTCGCACTGGCAGACCCTGAAACAAGCAAACCGGCTCCATCGATTAATTCCACTGACTGGACAGGTGTGTTACCCTGTTCCGCGGCGCTTCAGCAGTCTGACGAGACCGCTTTAGAGGAAAGTGTGGTCTGTAGAAAGAACTCTGTGGATAGCCATACTAACTGGGGCAATCAGCCGCCAACCCGTGCGGGGAATCCCGAAACTGGGGAATGTGTGGCCACGATGAAGTCCGATGAGAGCGTCTTGTGGTCGAGAGGAACAGAACAACAGAAGCCATCATCTGCAGATGGTACGATCCCCTTCGATACTTCATTATTCCCACTTCATATTCTCAAACAAGCTGAAAGCAGCAGTACGCAGAGAAACTCCTCGACGGTTTCCTTCGGGAATGCAGCATATACTAGAGAATCAAACAAAATAGAATTGTCAGAGCATGCAACATTCATCCCCCCAAAGTTGAGTACCATCACAGAAGCTTCATCAGTCACGTCGGCAACCTCCCTATCATCCAAACAGACCGGAGGCTTAAACGCTGGGGCACTAGACATGTTTAAGTCCAGCATGGCTGCAGCAAAACTGGCTGACCGTGTAGTCTGCGACCTGTGTAGAAAAGAACTCTGCAACAAGTACTTCCTGCGTACTCATAAAATCAAGGTACACGGTCTGTCGCCGCAGGAGGTCGGCGGTCCAGTCCCCCGTTCTTCTCTGGCGAAGTCATTTGAGAAGACCACAGAGACCGCTGTTTCCACCAGTTCGGACGCACCTAAGTCGGCGACGACGGCTACTTCTGGTGGCTTGGTCCAAAAGCCTGGCCCGCTCGACTTTAGCGTTTTGGCTTCTCCCTTCCTAGGATCGGGGAGCACGACGGGTAGCCAACCCGACAAGTTACCGTGTCCACCGCTCCCGTTTGGGTCCTTTCCTGGATTCCCCCTGCTGCCTCAAATTCCAGCTCCTCTAGGAGGACTTCCTCTCCCCGTGCCATGGTTTCCCATGATGACAACCACATCGACACTCTCAGAGGAATCGAACTCCTTCCTGCCACCTCCTTTGACCTCCACCGTGGTCACGCCTCAGATCACATCAGTAAATCCTGTACAGTCTGAAGGGGGGACAATGCCCCTGCATGTAGAGCCTCCACCACAGCAGTCACTGACCAGTTTTCCCGAACCACACCTAAAGGTTGTCGACCGACAGCACTTCGAAAACGGAGGTGCTCACTTTGAGGAGACTCAGCCCACCAAATGGAACAGGGAAGCCCAATCGGCTGCGGCGGAGCGGCAAGATGCTGAGCCTATGCACTCCGCGATCCAACTGATGTCGACTGATGCATCGGTCAATTGTCCCCTGTGCGACAATACAGTGGGACCCCGCCTCTTTCTGCCCACGCATCTCACCTCGGCGCATGGTCTCAGCCCGACTGACCCTTCCTTCTTCATATTTGTTCTGGGTGCTCGAATGTCAGAGCAACCGAATCATCGACGGGCCTCATCTTCAGGCCTTCAAGAAACACCAGGAGCTGACGTGGCCTCTCTCATTGGTCCAGCCGGCACCAAGCCGACCTCACCTTGCGACAGGACCCCCAAAGTGAGCAACACTTCCACTGCGGCTGACCAGTTTCTACCCTACTCAGCGGCCAACCTCGTTAATCCGCGATCCGTTTCGTCGGGATTGAATATCACATCGCAGTCGATTGCCAATGTTTTGGATAGCCTTCAGGATGCAGTAAAAGCTCAGAACTCTACCGCCACTGACAACATATCCGGTATGCCGCCAAGTAGGTTTACTGTAAATTCTTAATTTTAATGAATCGAAAGTGAGAAAATTTTCTTGAAACGTTATATGTGTCCGGCTGGTGTAGTCTGAAGCCTTCTACGCAAAAGTATCTTGCCTATTACATAAGCAGTTACCTTTGCCACCTGGGGTATGTCTGAGAAATTTATTGTCATGTAGAAACCACTGCTAGGTCAGTTAGATGTCAATATTATTCTTCCTCCTATTTCCACTCATCTATCCCTTTATCCTAAACGGTAATATACAGTCATATTGTTTTTAAACTGTGTACTACGCAGAAGACCAAACATTTAATAGTGCAGCGTCCCGCTTAAGCATGCTGAGAATGGTGCGGATGATGAAAAGAATATTTTCAGGCAAATATCCTTCTTTGGTGGAATGGGGGAATCGAAAGAGGCAAATATTAGAGATGGTCACGAAACATTGTAGAGGTTTTAAATTATTCGAGCCCTAAATGTATTGATGTGCGTCCATTATCCCCAAAATTACTAAATTTTGCTTGAAAAACCTCGACCATAAACATTATTTGCGCATATCAAGCGCTATTTTAGCTTGCTCAGCCAATCTTGAAATTGTTGTCCAAGGGAGAACTTTTCAGAGCTCGAACGATTTTTAATATTTGAGTTTTCCTTGAACCCACTTGCACTCGCCAGAGGGAAGCATACGAACGACTGCGGTTGTCGCTGGGAAAACCTCTTTGATTTTCCCCCCGAGTGTCTCCGTAACACAGGGCAATTGGCGTGAATGACTTTCACCTCACCCAAATACAATCCAGGTTTCCATGTTAAGTTTTTTTCGACGGTCACAACCGCAAAGTGGGGTCGATGAAGCGAGAGAATTGCTATGCTTGCAAAAGATTAACTCATTCATTTTTACACAATGATACTGATAAAGATGCGGGTGTACGATTCAGACAAAAGTTAAGCCATGGTAGGAATTATCAGCCCTGATATTACCCCTCGATAAGTCATTAACTAACACAACGTACGACCGTAAATGGAAGCAGGAGGTCTCAAAACGGCGGTTTGGGCTGAAACGTAAAAGCAATGCTGATGGGAATGTCACCAGGAACTAAAATATCTCAGCGCTACAACTGAAGCCTTCTGGGCAGACGGTAACTGCCACTGAGATCAAAAGTACCAAAAATGCATGAACCCCGGGGTTTTATGCAGCGAACAGACAGACAGTGGGTACAATAGAGGAATTGCACTTCACCCTAGGAGAGCCACTGATAGGCTAATTGAGTGGTCAAGAAAGTGCCATAACCCCCTACATTTAAAATCCTCTCTGGCTCTCTGTCAACGGACGGCTACATAAGGGTCGTAGGTTATCAGCTGGAGTATTACTGTTTAACTGGTTTACGGCTCCTTAGTTAATGACATGTATCGACAATGCCTTTAGGTGCACTGACTTGTACATTCCGTCCTTTTTGTTGGATTCTAGCAGACAGCTCCGACTTTGCTCAGCTATCACCGTTAACCTGTGCCGTCTCACTCACGGACTCCTCAAGTAGCAGCAGTAGTGGTGGTGGCGGCTACACCAGTTCTCACATCAGTGATGCGAACCCATCGCTGCTGCCGCAACATCCAGCCCTCGCTTCAGTCGGCCGACCTTCTCTGGTGGGCATCCCTGGGGCCGCTTCTGCCACCAACCAGTTCTTCTCGCCCTTCAGTTTACCAACCAGCGGTGATCGCACATCATCTTCGGTCGGCCACCTTGTGATCCCCCCGCTGGGGTTCATACCGCTGCCAGGATCGCATGGTCCAGCCACTGCGGTGCCACCACCACCACCACCGCCACCGTCGTGCGCCCTCACATCTGTCGTCTCGGAGACTGCGCCATTCCGTGGACCACCACAAATGGTAAACACCACAAAATGGAACCCAGTACAGTTGGCTGCCTCCGGCCTAACTACGTCTGCCGGCTCAAAGCTGAGTCAGGTCTCGGGCACAGGTCAATCGCGAAAGTCGCCCAACCAGATGAGAGTGCTGTGCAACATTTGCAATAAGTGGATCTGCAACAAATATTTCCTACGCACTCACAAGGCCAACAAACATGGTATCACGGAGGGTTCTACTGCCGCAGCAAACAACCCCAGCAACACGACAATGGCTTCAGCATTGACCGGCACAACCTCCAAAACCTCCTGCACAATCCCTACAATGTCGAATACTGTATGCAGTCAAAACAGCAGGGCAGTGCCTCTTATTTCGGAATTTTCTGACGAGGGTCCTGTCGGCTTCCAAACGACAACACAAACCAACGGGGCCCCGGATTTGGAGGAGAAGTACCGCTGTCCTCCGCAATTGAGCCCTGGTCTTTCTGTCCTCTCCATGTGTCCCCCGTTCCACCTGGAGGCCCTACACTCACAGATTATGGCTGACCGCAGAGCCGAGGAGAAAACCGTGCCGGAGGGCAGCTGTGAGGAGTTCTTGGCGCTCGTATCGGCAGCGGCTGCCGCGGCCAAGGCAAAGGAGGATGCTCATATGATGCAAACTGATCTGACGAGGCTCACCATGCCCTGGCTGTTCCCCGGTGCCCTCCGTAGCCTGCCTGGTGGAAAAGACTTCCAACCATTCTTCAACAGTCTTTCTTCTGACCTTTTCGAGAGGAATCACGAGCGCAAGTCAGATGTAAGTTCTTTCCACTGACTCCTGTATTGCAAGAATTAAAAGCACAAAGAAAGTCTTGTTATCTCATAGTTTCTGCAGTGTAATTTGAGAGCACCGCTGTCCACAATATTCCAGCCGCAAGGAAGAAGGGTCCTTCGCAAGTGAATCCCAAGGCAATCCTGAAAAGTGGTGAATAGCTATCGACAAAAAGGATGAAAGTCTCTCATTAAAGTAACCACAGTCATAACATCCTCCTCATCTTGGATGCAATGCCAAAAATCGTTCCGATACCTAAATCCAAAACATTACGTATTACAGTTACGATTTCTACCCGTAACTAGACACAATAGAGACGGAAGTGGAGTATCATAGGTTTATATTAAAGACAATTTGGGTGACGCAAGTGTTTAAAAATTGTTTTTAGAGTAAAACTGCTGTGGAGAACGGTCTGGAACGAAGACAGAAACAGTTCGGCCTTAAAGCTAATTAACCTCAAATGGGAACCGATTAGAATTTTAGAGAGAAGTATTACTCTTGCACTTCCCTCTGGTCTTTCCCTTCTACTTCCCATTACGATCGTCTCATGCTCTCCCCATGAATGATTTGGCTATCATTTTTTGCAATATTTTACAGGCTGGTGACAAAGGACACCCCCTTAACCTCTCACTGAAGTCCAGCCCTCCGCCAAGTGCTAAAAGTGAGACGGTTGTGTCCACGCCTCCAAATCGGACCTCACCTGGTATCGAGAATAGCAGACGCAAGAATGAAGCAGAAGATGCGTATCTTCCACATGAGATCCGACCGGGCTGCGAAAGTGAACCCTCACAGAGAACGGTGAGGTGTAAGAAACGACGTAGGCGACAGAAAATGCCCCTCTCCAAGGAACATATATTTTCAGCCCGAATTCAGGCTTACCGGTCCTGGAGCAGCTTGCGCGAATATGTCACTAAGCTGTTGACCAGGGTGCACAAGCAGTGCTTGGTGGCCCAGAACGCTGAAACCGCCTCGAAACGCGGACGTCTAAGGTCCGTACACACCAACTTGGATCGCAGGAGAAAAGTAAAGGTGAGTAACAATGCTAGAACTGCCAGACCTTGTAGAAATCGCATTTTTCGCCAGTTATGCACTACGAAAAATAGGTCTCGAGCAATTGGTCCAGTTTCGCCTCCTCTATGCAGAAATGATAACTTCATCTTCCTTGGCATAACTGCAGAGTTTTAAACTGAATCTGCTCCTGCTGAACAACATGACCTTAACATAACTGAAGGACTATGAATTACTAGAGTTTCCGATTGTTTGCCAAGACCAAAACGTTAAACAACAAGCTAACTGGGGAATTAATTTTACTAGAAATTGGGTAAATGATTATTTAATTTCTTCTTAGTAAATTGCCCACTCAATACTTCATTTAACAAGGCATTACGGGGAGTGGTCTTTGGAAATCGTACATTGAGCTCTTACCCGTCCTCAGAAAGGCTATTTTGACGAGGGTAGGTTAAACTGCCCGGGCCCCAAGTGTAAGCGCGATGCGGGCATTGAAAGTAAAGTAAGCTGACGGAGGATGCTGAAATCCGTAGTGAGGAAAGAAGCCGAGGCGGAAGCGGTAAAGGCAACCTAATCTATGACAAAGCTGCCGTGAGATTGAAGGAAGCCTAGGATGCCCGAAGAAGACCTGACTGACAGGAAACGCGGACAGCAATACCCCAGACCTAATCGTAGATCGAACCATAACCTCAAAAGTAAACCTAATCCTCAATGTAATTATAAACCTAACACTATCCCTAAACTGAACACTTTACCCAACAATAAATTTACCACAAACCCCAGCTCTAACCCTAAACCTAGCCTTAACCCTGGCCCAAATTTTCACATAACCCTAAACGTAACTCAAATTCTTACCCAGACCTTATCCATGACCCCAGCCTTAGCCGTCACCCAACCCTAACCCCATCCTTAAAACTAAACGCAAACTTAAACCACAATCCAAACCCTAACTCTATCAGGACACCCCTAAACTTAACACAAACCCCAACTCCAATCTCAATTTTCAGCCCGACACTAATCCGAACCCCTAGACTAACTCTACCTCTAAACCGAGACATTGGGATATCCTTTTCCGTTTTAGCTTTGGCTACTCTCTCACTAACAATTTCAGCATCCTCCTTCGGCTTACCTTATCTGAAACGCCCACATTACGCCTACACTTGGGACCAGGACAGCGTAACCGACCCTTATCGCTACATATATTTAAGTTCTGCTAATTACAGAGGCTTATCAGAATCTGCACAATTTTGGAGATATTTCGAAATAGAAAAGGTCGGCATCTGAGAAATCGGACAAATTGCTTGCGCTGGAAGAATAATTACGCCAAGAAGGGCAATTCATTAAGAACTAAAAAAAACAGAATGCATTAATGCCAATCCGTCTGCGCTTTCGCATGAACTAGCAGTCCTTTATTCCCTACGGCCTTCGGGCATATTAACAAGTTCCGTGTTCCGTTAAACGTTGTAAATAACAGCACTGGGGAGCTACATTCCTCAATTCGGGGATTTCATTGATTTTTAAGATCATCGTCTTCTTTAAGGCGTACTTCAGACATCAAAACACGGGTAAGCATCCGAGATATGTAGTTTTCCCCTAATGCCGACAAAACAACCGGAAATGTTGGATAAGAACTTCCTTATGCAGTCAGTGACCAAGCTCATGAAATGTTAACCGGAATTTTGAAATGCTGCCTAAGTAGTATGCATTTTCCCGCCGACTTTCTGTATGCACATAAACTCAAACATATTGTGCAGCAAACATTGCCAAACTGTCTTTTCTTATACTTATTTGATGGCAGATAGTGTCTTCAGCATGGTCAGTACTTGAAGGAAGGATATCTTTCAGTCTCAGAAATTTTGTTGTTGTGGAATTTTTTGAGACTATTAAATGCCCATCCAAATGGTATCGTGCAATGTAGTTCACATCCATTGGAAAATTATGTGATCTCTGTATGGTATCTTCTTAGTAGCGTAGAGGAATGTACGATTTTCTTCACATGGAAGCTATGCAGCGTATGATATGAGTGGCAGGTCGGGATCAAGTTATTCAGAAATTGGAAAACGCGTTTGAGTCTTAGATATATTTTTTTCTTTGAGTATAAAATTCGAAGAAAACATGACCTGTCACCAAGTGAGTGCAAGAAAGAAAGCTTTAGCTATGTTCTCTACAAAGTACATTTGAATTTATAAGGACATCGAAAATGATACAAACAATGAATGCTACTTCAGAAGGCATTTTTAAAGAGTCCGGTTTTGCGGTCGGTCGAAAAGGCGCACATCCGAAAGCCGACGTTGGGGATTGTGCTGCACAACCCGTTTGAGTAACCCTTCCTAATTGAAAATGTATTTCAAAATTTTGGCTGACATTTCATTGGTCACTGACTGTATTTCAAGTAAAATACAATCAGTCAAATTTGTCCGCATGAATTTGATTTTAAAACAAGTTTTGCCTGACTAATGTAAAACTATTCGATTTCCTCCTTCTGCAATTCCCACAGCAAAACAATACTTTGACAGCGAAATCTAATTAGAATGGGTAATTTAGGAAATGGAGCATATAAATACGAGCCATTATGATAAAAATTCAGGCTACTAAAGTAAAAATCAGCAATATTCAGAAAATCGTCAGGGGAAGGACATAGGGTTCTTCATTGTCGGTATGCACAGCTCACCAACGAACAACTGCCACATTTCGGGGCGTGATGCGTTATAAGATGTGACGTAGTGAGACCACCGACAAAAAAATTTTGCGCTAATTTTGTTCTACTGGTGGACTGCGAAAACGATACCCTGCGGCTATCCCCGGCACCACAACTTTTGCGCATGGCTAAATTCCCACTGTACCTCGTATTACATCCTTGACAACCTGAGTATATTGGCCAGCAGCCCGCATCTCGTACAGCCATAGAAAAAACTTAACTTAATGCGAATAAAAGGGCATCTTGAGTTATCAGAACCACAAATAGTTATGCGAATGGGAGGAATTAATAGATGGGTCGTACTCCTATTTGGACTCTCCATTGCTTTTGCCCTTAGCTCTCCATCCCACAGTTACTACCCCCTTGTTATGCTGACATCATTTCGTCACAATCCCATTGAACTCATGATTCCGAGTCGGTGGTGCCAGGATTGAAGGCTAAACTACCATGAATCCACAAATATGAATATTTTAGCTGAGGAAGAGAAAGAGGACATAAGGGTGGGTGGAAATTCTCCAGAAAAACGGAATTAGTGTTACAATGTGCCCACCTCCGTGTCTTATGTTAATTACACCGATGGTCATGCGGCTTAATGGTTAGTGGAAAGTGATATCGATTACATTTGTGGGAATTTGGTGAATTAAGCAAACTAAAACACTCGCTTGTGTCTCCATACGTGGCATAATTGTACACAGGTCAGAGAAACAGGCATGCTGTCAACATCTGCTCCGACATGGCGCCTAACCGCAAGAAACTTCGCATGCGTCCAGTCTGATTGGCTTTACGCATGCTGCCCAACAGGCGGCAGGGACAACAGCAACAGCAGCAGCAGCAGCAGTCGCGGACGCTGATCCTGCCAACTTGTCAAGACACTGACGGCTGTCAGGACTGCAGAGCAGGACATACATAAATGGCTAACTGCACCCTGTAGCCAGACATGCACAAACGCAGTCGTGCCGAGCGATTTTCATTTCTTCTCCGTCAGGGAGCAGATGTAGCCAGGCTGTCGGATCGCGTCACAAGAGCAGTGGCTAACTTACATATTGCAGTTTTGCCCTTCTAACAGCCTTTTTTCCCTTCATGTCTCCTGTCATGGCAGAATCAGCACAGGGCGCGGGGATCGACAACGAAACGAAGTGTGCGAGAGAAAGTGACAAAACTGACTGGCGGGAGCCGGGAGTGTCAGCCAAGGCGAGGTGAGCCCTGGCATAACTTGTGTCAGACCTGCGGAGCTTGGTTCAATAAGCGCAGTCAGCTGGAGGCTCATCTATACTCAGCTGGGCACCACCGCTTCAGTCGTCCCAAATCCTCCTCAGGCCCTAGTAGCCAGGAGGACTTCCAAACTGGAGTTTACAACTTATCGATTGATAAACACGATGCAAATCGAAGCCCCAATGGCCCTTCAGGTACCCAGTTTTCGAGTGAATCTTCACTGCCCTCTGCGCTTGAGGTTATAGCGTCGTCCTCAAATTCCGCCCCTTCCCCCAATACTGTTACCTCCGGCTCTTTTCCGGACACAGAACGCTCTTGCTCCAATAGTCAAGAGACTCCCGGGTCGAGTTTTCTGCGCTGTCAAACAGGCATTTGGTGGCAGAGGTGCGTTTTTGACGGCCCTCCGGGGACAGATGATTCGCCGCTGGAACTACGCATCCGTCCGCTCCCTGTGGGTCCCCTGCCAAATTCAATTGCTCCAGTCTCCTTACCATCTACCCAATTTCCATTTTCTCTTAACGATATTCAGCGGATTAGCGAGGCCTGTACGCCAGTGATACGACCGCTCTCTGGTCTGACCGAGACTACTCCCAGCATGTAATGCATTTGCCACTGAAGGACCAGCTTCACTCGAATTCAACGACACCATTAACACCCTACCCTCAGCTGCAACCTGCCTCCTAACCCATTATCCCTGCTTCCCAAGAGCAGACGTTCGGCGCACGCTACAAAGAGCAGCCGGCTTTTGAACCAGTATTCAGTAACCGACCCACTTTGATAGTTAACTTCAGTCCATCCACCCAGCCCCTTTCTTTAAATTGTTAATATTTATCTCGACAAACAGACGCACTACCCACTAACACATACGAACAAACAGGCTGCTTTTTGCGTACACTGAGTTTGAAAGGAAAGTCGATTTTAAAGTTTATATATAACAGTTGTTCGATTTGACTTGAATTAATTTATTTTAAATCGAATTGGATCGCCGGAAATAAGCTATGGCTTCTCCAGCCACATACCGAGATCTTAATGGCATATGCTTTTATGAGGACCAATGAGTTGCTAAAATATAGGTGTTGTAGAACCCATGCGATGCAGTTGTATTTTAACAACAAAAATCTCCCCCAAAGAAGGTTAACGGCGGCTATATTCCTAATACCTGCTGACTTGGTCCAGGAAGATCATCCAGTTAGAAATATCTCTGTCTAGCTAGGTGACAGCCTAATAAGACTTCGGCACACAGGAAGCGTATTCAAAGATTCAAAGTAACATGCAGTCCACAGTGCTTACATTTTCCCCAGAAGAAAGTGAGACCAAAATATGTGGACCTTTGGAAAAACATCCGGTAGGATTCGGGGATGAACATCCTTTCATCCACATTCATGTACAGTGCCTACTTCTTTAATTTAAGTAGCTCGAGACGCGCGATCAATAACATTTACTGTCGGTTGCCGTTGACGGAGTCCCCTTCTTTCCCTGTCTGACTGATATTCATTCAGTCGAGTTAATTCCTGCTACCTCCGCCTACTTCTTATACAACGTTTCCGATGAGTTTTATAGTTCACAGTAGGTTCCGTACTATCCACCGACAGGGTCGATGCAAGAAGCCCTTCGTTCTTTATTTTGCTAGCTGCTAATTTTACTGATGGCTTCCAACTGTGGGCCATGGGCCACGTTGACGACAACATCGGGGAAGGCGTACGTTGCCCAGGGAAACAGCTCCGTCAACTGCGCTAGCTTCATCCTCTGGATTCTTTCCTAATCAAATAAATGATATTTAAGACCGCCGTTGTGAGCCCACGCACTGATAGCTTCGTCTTCCGCATCCGCTAGTCGGACGTCGGAGTATTCAGTCGGTTTTCCGCTGCTGGACAATAAAATCGGATGGTGAGCGTCAGAAAGCTCGTCAATCCTTCGTTAGATGTCTGCCAGTCAACTACCAGGTCGCGGAAAGGCGTTTGTTGTTTCTTCTCCCGTGTCATCGTCAGCATCGCAGATACCAGCTCTTATTTTAATTTCTACCATCGCTCTTGCTAGCAGTTTCATGCCACAACTGGCGAGACCTGCAATTTCTGTTGACGCCGTATCTTACTAGTTCCGCCGATTTCCTTGCCTTACGTCGATTTTCTGTTAGTCATCCATTTGGTTGCGTGAGTACGTTTACGTAGGCACCTCGACTGGTAGTCGCATGCGCCTACTTCAGTTAAATAAGTAGTTCAACAGGAGCGCTCATTCCGGTGTCCAATCAAACATTGTGCTTTATAGTCGATGAAACCTCAGTTATCACGATCTGGAGGAACAACTACATGCACCAATGGAATTGAACTTTCTCAAAAACTCCTCATGGAAGCACTTTCAAATCTGCAGAGCTAATTTCACCCCGGAGTCCAAGGCTGGACACTTGAAAACGATTGTATACTGGTGAAAGACGAATACCAGGCAGAGGTTTAACCAAAAAGCTGAGGAATTGGAGTCGAATTTGTTCTATGTGGACGACATCAATCCCTGGGTACACAGACATGGAAATTAAACCCAAAGCTAAGTATTCTGCCCACCCAGAGAATTGTATTGGAAAACGCACAGGCTCAGAGGAAGCTGCTTCCTAGAGCATTCAGTGCCCTGCTTGGAGACGCGCATTAAATGCAGCCAATGCTGCCCAGTTCTATAGGCCACTCTGACTGAGTAGGAACGTACTGTTATTTACAAAATTATTATGCTTCTTTGTTCGCAACTAAAAATCCTTTCGATGGACCTTCAAAATAGAAGTGTAAGGACGGATTACCAACATACTCCCGGTAGACCGAAGTCAAATTGGCTGCTAAGCATCCAAAAAGTAAACGATATGATGAAAGGTTGAGATCGCTAGAGAAGAGATCATATATTTCTGCCAACCGAATAAGTAAGTCCCTCAGAATTCCAGAACTTGAAGTCACAACTGAAGTAAGTAGTCAGCGGCTCCTTTGATATTCATAAATATCACCATTGTGTAAAACCTTAAAAATGATGTAGAAGAAATCTTAGGGAAGTTACCATTGCGATGAACCACATCGAATATGGGTTAATCAAATACGGACAAGAGAGTAGAGTGGAGTTCATTCTTTTACCTGACAATAATACTTTCACACTCCGACTTACACTAAACGGCAAATTAGAAGCAAGTCGTGTTAGGAATCACCCACTTTAGGCTGGAATATCAACCGATGTCATACCCACCACTAGTAGATGAATGTCTGTGTTTTCTAAAGGATATTTAAAATAATATTGGGTAATTCATAATGAACTCTGCTCTAACTCTCCAAATTTATTCGTGTGCCACATGATAAAACCATAGCTCTTTCGATGTGGAGAAATTCGAACAACGTAGTCTGGGTCACCAACCTGTGTGTGGCTGAACACACGTTTTTGATTTTTATCGGAGGATTGGGGGCTCATGTTCTATTAAATATTTATTCACGAGTTTCTTCCGAACGCTATACTACCTGACTTAAATCAGCGGCGATGCCTGAGGAATTTATGCTTGCGTTGCTTTCCGCGGCTCTGACTGGGGTTTGATTTTGGCCATGTCTGAATTTATATGGAGAATATGCTGGAGTGTGCGACGTTCGTGGTAGAACAACCAAATCATACATCGCTAGGTTTTTAAACTCTGCGGAGGTTAATTTGTGAACCTGGAGCTAAACCCTCAAAATATGACGTTTCAGGTTTGATTTGAAAGTCAGTATGAATATTCGGACCGGATTCCTACCTCCTTAGTAGAAAAACCTCAGAGTATTCGTGGGCTGCCAATAGGCAAGCAACATTATATAGATATACATGGGGGATGGCTGACTATACTCCCAGCACAGGTTCAATCTAAAGACCAGGACATATCTTTGGACAAGTTTTTACTGTTACCCTGCGGAACTTAGAGGGGTTCGGTTCATCAACGATCCTCCAGATTCTCTCGTGTTGTTTATAACACACTAGCATGTTGATCTTTTTGAGCTAGCACTAAATAACGGGTGTTTATGTGATCAGCTCGAAATCGGCGAAATAATTTTATACGCTCTTAGATGGTGCCGGTGCTGGCAGTATGGTAAACCAATTTCCATACGCACTTATGCCCTACTGATTACTCCGAGATGTTGACGTCACCGCTCGAAGTACTGTCGGGAGAATTCCCCCACCGGTCTCTGAAGATCACTTATAAAATATTCCAAGAGTCTTTTGACGGTGTGATAACCCATTCCGTTTGGCACAAAAGAGTTTTTCATGCAATCGAAACCTCTCAGGACACTGGTAGGTTAGAAAGCAATATCTCCTCCAAAACTCTAGTCTTACATACAACGAACAAACTTTTATAGACAGAAACTAGCAATAATTGTGTTTGGGACGAAAATCGTTGTAAATGGGAAGACAAGTAAAAAAGGTTGGTTGCACATTGCTATCTTTGCGCTACGTTCCGTTGCGCAAAGGATTCCAGACGTGTGTGCTTGCCCTCTGCCCTCTAAACGGGCCACGTGTTAGATGCGCTGGACCAACACGGGGGCCACATCGGACTCTGGCAGGCGTTATCTGTGCGCAATAACAAATGCCAACATTTGCGGGGTGCGCTGGCGGACCCTGTTGTCGGCATTCGTCGCTCAACTGGACCACTGCCGCCTCCCCATTGTTCTGTGGTCAAAATCCTGGTCATTTGTGTGCGGACCAGGGGGTGCGGAGTGGAGCGCCAAGGCGAGGATCCGTCCGAGCCATCCACCTGCGGCCTCCCCCGTCTCCGGTCTTCTTGACTCTGTCTTGACACCGGGCTCAGGCGGGGGGGGGGGAGGAGGAGAGAGTGTAGGTAGATGCTACGCAAGTCTACTGGCACTATGAACCCCTGCGTAAGTCACCGTCCCTGCTCCCCCAATGCAGTCTGTGGGGCACACGGTGGACATCGTCGAAATCGACGGTCGAACTGTCGTGTGTGTGTGTGTTGGGTCAAACGAATATGCTGACGATAAAATGCCCGGTTAATATATCCCCTCGGTGATAAAGTTTGTACGGGAAAAATTATACGGAGCAGGGGTGAATGCGCGGAGAAGAGAGGCGGCGAAGGAGACGTTGGAGAGAATGGTGCTGTTTCCAGTATATAGAGGGAGGGGCTGAAGCTAGAGAAAAGAGGCACCCTCGTCATCGAGAGAGCGGACAGTTTTTTGCCCGACAGTCATGGCTGTGAGGACTGTCATGGTAGGAGAATGAGTGGGGTCTGAATGGCATGTTAGCTGCCTCAGTGCGGATTTCATCGGCGGTGCGAATGCATAGGATGAAGTGGGGACGTTGTCCAGTTGCTGAAATTTGGGAATACATTGCGATCCAAAATACCCCGTATGAGCACGACAAGGGGCTGTTGGTTTCTATAGATGGAAAATTTGTAGCTCTCAATGAAATGCTAGGGAGATTCGGCACCAGACAGATAGAAAAGTACTCCCACCCGAACGTGACGCAGCAGGTGAGAGATTCTTGTAAGAGAAAGCCAGAAGTTAAAATTCAGAGTAAACTAGTATAACTGAATGTAGGGGACATTCCTTCAAGTACCTTATTGGAAGCTGAACGCAAGGCCGGCAGATCGAGATAAAGAAG